AACACAAGCAACACATACATGCAGAATGTTGCTTGTGCTGAGCTGGAAGTGAAGAAACTGTTCAGAAAATATTTGTTAGTATCACACTTAGTAGAAATATATGAGATATTTTTATTTCAACTACTAATTACTTGAACTATGACTTGGAAGTAGACCAAAACACAGTATTTTTGTTTTCCATTACATTTTTAGACAGACATTAATTCTTCTGATAATTTCCATCTATACATGTCCTACAAAATTATCTGAAAATGGAAATTTTTTTTCATTTAATTTTATTGGCCTATCACCCCTCCAAAATTTAAGTGTTTTTCTCACAAACTAGCTAAAATTTCCTGTCAAAATCACTAGCTTAAAACTCTTATTGGTTTTATCTCAAAGGAGACTGAGCTTAATACTAATACTTTTCACTTTAGAAATGTTTGCTCCAGTGATTCTAGAATTTTTATTCCCATTTACACACATACACACTCGTGATGTGTGATGAGTTAGAACTGAAGTGCAGATTGTTTTTAACTACAAATTCAAAGCATTTTATAACACTTGTTGGAAACAGCATTTATTTCAGAACCTATTACTAGAGCCTTCCCCCAGATTTTATGGGTATATTATGAAATCTCCTTTGAATGCTTTTCTCCTTTTACCTTCTTAAATGTTGATGTTTTGAGGGTTCCCCCTTCTTACATTATATTTTTTCTTGTGTGATGTCGAGTAGAATTCTTCTTACCTTGTTTGCCATGTGTCTTAGTTACACTTGGCCTTTTGTATTTTCATGGAAATTACAGACTCAGCTTATTAAGTCATATGCACACGCTAGAATTGGAATGGAAGATGGAAAAGTGTACTGGGAAGGAGAATGGGAAGAGAGATTGGGAGGTTTTGTGGGGCATGTAAAGTACAGTGGTCGAGAGTTCCACACCTACAAACTTGGGCTACTCTGCTAACTTGTATCAGGCAAAAGGAAGAAAAACAAAAAATAAATGCCCTTTTTTCCCTCTAATAATCCAACTCCTCTATAGATAAAATTGTTTCCCTACAAGTAGCTAACTCCACCACTATGCCTCCAAAGATTGTGATGCTCTTCCCCACCATTTGAGGTCATTGAGAAAGAGATTAACATTAGAGTTAATGGAAAAGTCCATGCTTAGCACCATAAAATCTCAAGGCTGTGTGATAGAAGAATGCAGTTGAATAACATCGGCTGGAAAAAAGGACCAATATGCTTTGCTTTTTAATTCTTTCTGATAAGACATTAGACTCATAAATGACCAAATTCCCAGAGATTTTCATTTTAGGGATTGTCAATCAGGAACAGAATTGAGGATCTAAACGTGTGCATGTCTGGACTCCAAGACTGCTAAAAATGTTCCAGCTGCCAAACAGAGGGAGTGAATATTTTGTCAGCATGCAGCTGAGGGGTAAATGAAGACAGCCAGGCTGGGTACACTGTCACAGCTGCCTCTGTATGTTCAGCTCATGTCACAGATTTCCTTTCCCCACCAGTCACCTCTGTCTTTCCCTCCTTTATGCTTAATAATACTTGTATACTTAAATTTAAATATGTTTGTTGTATATTTGTGTATGCATTTAGATGTGTTTTTTATCTCTTTTTGAGATAAAGCTGGTTAAGGTTAGAGATCATCTTTCTTCCCTTATAACTCATGTGATCTGATTCACAGTAATATGAACCATGGAACAGGGCTGTGATATAGACCAGGAAGTTTATTAATTTCCTCAGCTCTTGGGTGGGGCGGGGCAGTGCATGGCAGACTGTGATCTACTAATTCTAAAGAGTCTAGAACTTCAGATTTAATGGTTTACTACAAGAGATAGGATCCATTCAATATAGAAATTCTTTTATGAGACACTCCTCCAACGACAATTAAAATTTGTTCCCCTCAATAAGACAACTAAGAAAAAAGAAAATAATAAAGAAACTTGCCTCTCTTAACCTGCTGTATAAAATAAATAAATAAATTAAAATAAATAAATTAAATTAAAAAAAAATTTAAAGCACACTTATTACAAAAATAAATATTAATGGGACAAATGAAAGATAGCAATGATTACCAATGTTATCTTTATGTGGTAAGTCTATGGGTAAATTTTTTATTCTAGTTTTTCTAGGCTGTCCAAATTTCTATAATTAGCACTCATTACTATTACCTAAGTAAAAAGTCATTATTAAAACACTCCACAAGGAAAAAAAAAGAAAGAGACTTGACTCTCTTGATCTTAACTCTGGATGAGGGTGGGAATTCTTCCTTGACAATATTTAACCTCAAGCTAGCCCTCAACCTGAGTTTAGGTCAAACTTTATACTCAGTGTCACTCAAAATGCCCAACCTAAAAATTTACATCAAAGTGGTCCTAGGCTGACAATGTTCCCAGGTAGCACTGATAGAAGAAAATGTAGGGGTTTCAAATCCAGGTCTCAAAGAGTTCTTACAGATACATTTCCAAGGAACAGGAGTACAAAATGAAAAATCTCAAAACATATAACACAAGAGGCCACTCTGAACAGGAGAAACAAGAAGAAGAAAACAAAATGGCATCACCACAGCAGAATCAAAACTGCAAAGGCTGAAGATGCTGGTATTATAGGCTATAGAATATAAGATAATAAGCATGTTTAATGCATTTAAAGTAATTATTTTTAGAAGAACTAAATAGATTCTAGAAATTATATAATAATTAAAATAGAAACTCCACATTCAGTTTAAAGCAGTTTATAGACACAGCTGAAGGGTGAATTAGTGGGCTAGCTTGTTACTTTAAAGAAATTGCCCAGAATTGTGCACAGCTTTGTGTACATTAAAACTGTTAGTAGAAGATAATTTTTAAAGATGTAAATGAGAATATTCTAGGATTGAGAAAAGATACAAATCTTCACATTCAGGAACATAAGGAACCCCAAGCAAGACAAATGAAATCTACACCTAAACTTGTATTTAAATTGCAGAACACCAAGAACAAAAAAAACAAAGGGGGGGGGAGTCTAAATAGGACTCAGAAAACTAGATGAATTTAGCAGAACTCAATAAGCTTCCTACTCTAAAATGACAGTAGAGAAACTAAAAAGAGCAATCCAGTATATACCCCAAACTCACTAATATCTCAGCATTGCTAGTATCTAATCATTTTGGAAGTGGGAGTAAAGTTAGGCCTAAAAAAGCATGACCTAGCTACCCAGAGCCTTGCAGCTCTTTGTGGCCAGGGGGTTGTTGTTTTCCTACCCCAGCAGAACACTGGAGGTTTATCCCCTGGAAAGGATAGAACAGAGTGTTTCTAGACTGGAGGGCTCAGGGCACAGCTGAGGACAGAACTGGCTACCACCCTGAAAACAGAGGGATTAAATGAAATGTTTACAAACTGGCTATTGAGATACCACCATCCCCCACCATCCTCCTGACTCTGAAACATTAGCAGTCAGGTTTTACAGGCAAGGGAGGAGAAAGGAAGAATCTCTTCTGGGGAATCTTCCAGCTCTCATAAAAACACTGATAGGCAAGATGTCAGAGATTCCCCAATAAAATTGTTTAGCCAAAACATCTTAAAATAAGCTCACAGTCAATAAGTCCAAGACATGAATATGGAACTCTGAACACATTTTTAATGCCCCATTCTTAGGACAAGGATCACTATAAGATACTGAAGAATGTGAGAAAGAGTCACCAAAACAAAGAAACAGAAAACATTTCCAAGAAAATAGAGACCACACAAAAAGGAGAAAAATATTTTTCAAGTTATTTATATATTCAGAGAAATAAATAAGATAGTGTAGCCATAAAAGCATCTGAGACTTTAGTGAAAGAACAGATGAGGAAAAGGCACTGTATAAGAAAAATCACCCCATTTTTCCCTTCTGTGTCTCTCCTTTACTACTCACATAGAACACTTCACTTCTGACATTCTGGTCACCAAATGCATGGAGGTTTTTCCCCACTTCAAGCAATTCTCCATGACTTCAGCTGGGTGTCCTACTTTTTAAATTAATTGTACCTGGAGATAGTGTCAGATGCCACATGTTAAAGGCTCAGTCCCACAAGACTGCTCCCACCCCACTTCAGATGCCAATCACAAGTAGTAGGTTCCCAGGTTACCCACAACTTCTGTCCAGTTTGTCTACAAATTGAAGGTTCCCATGACCCCCTCTTCAGGCTTGATCATTTCACTAGAGCAGCTCACTGAACTCAGGGGAACACTAACTTATGTTTACCAGTTTATGAAAGGATATGATAAAGGATACAGATGAACAGCCATACGAAGAGATACACAGGGTGAGGTCTGGGAGCGTCCGAGAGCAGGAGCTTCTGTTCCCATGGAGTTTGGGGTACATTACCTCCTGGTGTGGATGTGTTCACCAACCTAGAAGTTCTCTGAACCCCTTACGACTGGGATTTTTATGGAGGCTTCTTTACGTAGGCATGATCAATTATTAACTCCATTTTCAGCCTCTTTGCCCTCTCTAGGGAAGTGGGGGACAGGGCTGAAAACTCTAAAGCTTCTAATCATGGCTTTGTCTTTCCTAGAGTCACCTCATTAGAACAATAGATGCTCCTAGTGCTCTTATCACGTAGGAAATTACAAGGGTTTTAGGAGCTCTGTGCCAGGAACCAGGGGCAGAGACCAATACATATATTTTTCTATTATCTCATAGGAGCCATTGGAAATTATAAACATGATAGAAAGAAATTAGAAGGGCTTAAAGATAGAATTAAGAAAATGTCCCAGAAAATACAGCAAAAAGGCAAAGAGATAAAAAAAAAAATGAGAGAAAATGCTTAAAAAGTTAGGACACCAGCCCATCGCATCCCAAATTTAAATTAAGAGCAGGGAACATAGGTAATCATCAAAAAAGTAATCTAATAACATTTCATGGAACAGAAGTTCATGAATTTCCAGAGTGGAAGGGTTCAAAGAGTGCTCAGCACATGGATAAAAATAAACCCACACTGAGACAGTGTTGTGAAATTTCAAAACACTGCAGACAAAGAGCTTCCACAGAGAGCAAAAAGCAGGTTACATACAAAGGATAAAGAATCAGAATGGCATCAGGTGTCTGAACAGCAACACTGGAAGCCAGAAGGCAATGGAACAGTGCCTTCAAAATCCTGAGGTAAAATTCTTTCCAACCTAGAATTCTATACTCTGTCAAACTATCAGCATTAGAGAGGGAAGCACAGGGGTTTCTAAGATAGGAGTAATGTTTTATCTTTTAGACTTGGTGGAGAGTACACGAGTACTCTCATTATATTACTCTTTAAGTCAGTTTAAATATACTATTTAAACTGTCTAATCTAGCACATAGTTTAAAAGAATAATTTTTTAAAATGAACAAGTAATGTTAATGTTAAAACAAAATGTTAGGCAAAATGTTCGAACTTGATGGAGTTGAATGATGGGTATGTGTATGTGTGTTACGGTATTCTCTGTACTTTTTGTATCCTTAATAGATATTATGATAAAATATTTTAAAAAACTTTTTCAAAGAATAAAGGTTTGGAGGGGAGATGGTGTGGAGAAAGAGTGAGAGAATGAGTGACAGCACACCAAAAGAACGGTCTCTCTGTCCCGAGTTATGAAAAGACTCTTCTGCGTGGTGGGCTCTGACCCGTACTACCTTATCTTTGCCATTTTTATGGGTGTAATCCTAAGCAGTGGACTCAATGAGTAGTCTATTCCGCTTACAAACCACAACATGACCTCTTCTATCAACTTATTGACGCTTGGCTTTTTGCATATACCGTTCAAAATTCATGTCGGAGTCTTTCTTCTTCCCATATTCTACCCTGGAAATAGGCAGGCAATGACCCATGCAATGCTGTCATTATGTTCGTACAGTTTTTACCTTGTGTAGACTAGCTGGGCTCTAACCACTTAGTCATAAATTTCTTAGTAAGTGTCTGTCCTCTTTTTCAGTATCCTCATCAGTATACTGGGAATAATAACAGTGTCTGACTTGTAGGGGTTTTGTGAGGATTAATGTTAGCTATTGTTATTATCACTATTTGCAAATGGCAGAGTTGTGTATTGTCACAAACTAAAAGTGGTCGTCATAGTTCTCTAACATTGTTAAATAAATGCATAATGAGCATTTTGACTTGTAAGTTTAGATGTAAACATAGTCATATTGCAGAGAGACAATAAAATAATACTAAGACAAATATGAATATGACAACACTAAAGATTGGTATACATCAGTACTAAAAGGGTCTCTCTGAACTAGGGCGCTGTTCATTACTTTTGAAATAATTGTGTTAGCATGGAATTTTGGGGGTTTTCCCCAATCAATACTCTTTACTTCTTACAGTGCAAGGTAGTTGAAGGACAGCTAAGGACTTTTGGTTTGCTAAAAAAATATATTACCAAAAAAGAGGGAATAAATGAAGATGGCCTTACCTCCTTGGAAACCAAAATTGCAGTTATTTCTACCAAACAGGAATTGTTTGGCTGAAGTCTTACAGAGCAGTAGGATAGCCTAAATACTGAATTTCCTATAGCCAACGGTTGCCTCATAACAGGTTGTGTAGGTCACAATACTCATCAAAAATAATATTAAATACAACATTTAAAACATAAAAAATACAACAATTAAATACAACATTTAAAAATATTAAATACAACATTTAAAAGATCAAGCAGGGGCTTCCCTGGTGGCACAGTGGTTGAGAGTCCGCCTGCCGATGCAGGGGACACGGGTTCGTGCCCCGGTCTGGGAAGATCCCACGTGCCACAGAGCGGCTGGGCCCGTGAGCCATGGCCGCTGAGCCTGTGCGTCCGGAGCCTGTGCTCCGCAACGGGAGAGGCCACAACAGTGAGAGGCCCACATAACGAAAAAAAAAAAAAAAAAAAAGATCAAGTAAACTGCATATAAACATGTTGGTAGTACTAAAATTTGTCATAAATTCATATTCATATTGTCTTAATTTTAAATTATATAGTAATTTCTGCCCTTTGACTATTAGTGCAATATTCCTGAATAAACTCTGAAATTATAATGCTGTTTAAACTCAAAAACTTATATAGTACTTCCTTAACCTGAAGGCATCAATTATAGAGCTTAATATTAGTGAATTTTGGTGGTAAATCTGGAATAATTTGGTTATGATCCTGATTACATCAGAGGAAAATATTAAATGAACTCTTGTCTTTTCTGGCCTGTGCAATCCTAAGACTTTTTTGAGTTTGAGTTATACTATAGTTATAGATGCAAATACAAAATGCATTAAAATTTTTCGAAGCCTATTATCTTTTCTTTGTCTGACCAGACTCTGCTCATTCTCAATCCATGAGCCTCAGATAAAACTGACATCACCGCTGGCTAAAGTGTTGACTCAAGAAAACAAAAAGAATAGCACATCCTCTTGGGCAAGAGATTGCTTCCCTCAATGGAGCTACTGAGAAAAAAACCTCCCTTTATCTGCTGAGGTTTCTAAACCATTAGCATATAAGTCTGGAGCTACTTAGAGTATGTTTGCTGGGATTGCCTGCCTGAGAACGAAGGTAACTCAGAAGAAAACAGAGCAGATCAAAGGAGTGACATCATTTCTTAATGACAATGTCTGAATCTCTGTATCTGAAGTAGGTCAAACCGCAAACTTCCCAATTTCACAAATGAAGAAACAAGACAAAGACCGACTCTAAGGAAAACAAAAAATTACGCAGGAAAGAAGAAAAGAAATTATAAAATGCTACAGGGATCAGCTGTGAATAGCTTGTACATAGTCATAATAATGTAAATATTGAATATTGATTTAACCAAAATTGCAATATAATTATATTAGGTGGATTTGAGGATGAGAAGAGAGAGACAGATTAAGGGGGTAACGGTGAAACAACACTAAATCTACATCTATCACGTTAGGGAGTCAATAGATAATATCTAAAGCTGCAAAATCAAGCAGCAGCAGTATAAGCACATTATACTGGAATATGGCAAAAAATTACCCCCCATCCCCCCCCAAAAAAAACACTGGAAGATTTAGTAATCTTTGTTGTGCGTACTTGGTAATCCCTTTTAATGGGGGAATTCAAATCTTTCATTTCTGTAAAATGTTCTTGATTTACTTATTTGATTATTTTCTTCTAGCCATTTTCTCTTACTTCTGTTTCTTAAATTTCTGTTACTCAGATATTGGACCTCCTGGATGGTCTGTAGTCCTCTGATTTCAAAATCTTTTCTTCCTTCTTATCCTCTCATTGTCTTTTTCCTCCACTTTCAGAGAGATGTCCTCAACTTATCTCTTTATATTTCAACCCTTTTATTATTTTTGTTTTAAATTTCTACTCTCATAATTTGAATTTTTAGGAGCTCTTTATTTGTTCTCCTTAGAGATGAGATAGATGATAGATAGATAGATAGAAAGGTAGATAGATAGATAGATAGATGATAGATAGTCAGTCACCCTGTTCTAATTTATGGCTACCGTACTACCTCTTGTCGATCTGGGATTCGAAAGACAGTATTTTCGTTTTCTTCCCTTGCCTATGTTCATCTCTTCAATGCTGCTTTTATCTGATTGTTTCCATCTTTGTCCTTCACACAGAGGCTCCCCTCAAATATTGAGTGACCTCTGGTTTTCTAAGAGTGGAGGGACTAGAAAGCTGATAGGAAGCTCTGAGCACCTCTGGGTGCATTATGTTGAGGGGGGCTTTGCTTTTGGTGGGTGATTTGGGTGGCTCATGTCATTGAAGGAACCCTGATGTCAGGATCCTAGGGCTGATCAGATTCCCCAGAGGTGACTTTTCCATTCCTAGGCCTAGGAAGTAGTGGGTGGAAGCGAGCATTCTAGGAACCAAGTGTGAAAAGACAAGATAGTTGTTCTTAGAATTCCATATGTTAAAGTTCACTTAATTCTACTTTTTACCAAGGTACCAGTAACTTCGATTTTGCCTAGTGTCCTTCTTTTCAAAACTCCTCTTTAGAATAAACCTGTGATCTTCTGTACTAATTAGGAATGCTCAAGTGGTCCATTTTACAGATAGGGAGAGAGCTCTGTGGGGGGAAGTGTCCAACTGCATCCCACTGACATTCAACTCATTCTCCTGTTTATAGCCTCACATTTAACACAGTTCAAAATCACCTAGTGTCAATAATTTTGAGCCCTCAGAAAATCTGAAATGTAAATTAATTTGCTTCTTGACTTTCCCCACAGTTGCTTTCTAAAGTTTTAATAGGCAGTTACCACTTCTGAGTCTGCTTCTCAGTTTCTAGAATTTTCTTGTATTGACTCCTTTTCCATCCTCTTTGTTTTTATGGTTTGTTCTTTTTAAATCACTGTCTATCATTTTGATGATATTATAGAAAGGAAGCAAACACAAGTACATATATTTGGTCCATTATCTAGAAGTCTAATCTCAATTTTTCATCATTTTAGCTCTCATAGCAAGCACCCTAAAACTATAGGTATTAGGTTTATATAAAATATCTGAAGATAGATATCTTTTAAGTGGTTTAGATTGAGCAGATTTAGGCAAATCATGGAAACTCCTATTTGGCCACCAAAATTTTATTGAGTATTATTAGCTTTTATAGCAGTTTATGAATTTCTTAAATTGACTCAGAAAAAGTTCCCCTCTCATTTTCTAGGTCCTAAAACTGATTTATTCTTTTTTAAAAATTTATTTAGTTATGTTATGGCTGTGTTGGGTCTTCGTTTCTGTGCGAGGGCTTTCTCTAGTTGTGGCAAGCGGGGGCCACTCTTCATCGTGATGCGCGGGCCTCTCACTATCGCGGCCTCTCTTGTTGCGGAGCACAGGCTCCAGACGCGCAGGCTCAGTAATTGTGGCTTATGGGCCCAGTTGCTCCGCGGGATGTGGCATCTTCCCAGACCAGGGCTCGAACCCGTGTCCCCTGCATTGGCAGGCAGATTCTCAACCACTGTGCCACCAGGGAAGCCCTAAAACTGATTTATTCTATACATAATTTCCTCCATATTTTGAATTCAATAGGAGATTGTTTCACAAACATAAGAGAATATTTTCAAATCTGTTTTCACCAAAATATCTGTGTGTTAAGTATATATATATATATATATATATATATATATATACTTAAACATATATATAAATTTTTTATGGCATATAAACAATGAGCAAGCTCTAAAAACTGTTTTCCCTTCAGTCCTCATTCAATTTTTAATGATAAAAGTAATATTAGTCTATTTAGTTTGACAACATATTCAAAAGTGCAGTTTTCAGGTACATCTTAGTATAAATTCAACTTTATAGAATTTATGGGATTATCTCTGCTAGATGGTAAGCATCTGGACATCAAATATAGGTTAATGTTTGTGTTTCTTTCCATGTCTAGCGCAGCGAATTGTATCTCGAACTTGGACAATAAATGATTATTGAAGTGCAATTGATATTCAGCATAATGATCATAAGTCAGGATTACATATAAGAGATCTAACAGATTAAACCTTTACCAGTCTCTAGGTAATTTTTACCAAAAGTTTGGCACCAAAAAATGATTATTTTTTTTCCTTCTAAAGAACAAGAGGAAGCATTTTGGACTACGTAGGGATTAGGAAAGATGATTGGGCAGAATGTCCAATAAGATTGTATAGTTAGTCAAATTTTATTTTTAAGCTGTTTTCCTAAAACTTAAAAGCTTGCCTCTTTGATGTTTTGGGAATCTCTTTGTTAATGACATTGGAGTCCTTGGTGTACAATTGCACATTGTCTCATGTGTTCCTGGCCAGCACCAGGTAGCAGAACCAATATTACTCAATGTTTTTTCTTTCTAAGGGTGAAGAAGTTCACATAAGCCACCTGGCTGGTCAAGGCTTCTTCCACACTGAGATATTTCAAACAGGTATGTGGAATCTTTACTCACTGAATAAAATAAGAACCTCATTTGAAGGAAATGTTTTCAATATTGTTTATTTATTCCATGGTATTGTCTGAAGGAGTCCTGTGATTCTGACAAAATTTGGTTCTCTAAAGAAGGGTATCAAGAAGCACCTAAAGCTTTTATCTACCAATCTGAAGCAAAATCGTCACTAAGAACTAACTAGATTATAAATCCTTTGAGGGCAAAAACAATTTCATTTTATCTCTCATATTTCTTCATTACTCTAAACCACTGATGGACATAAAATAGATGTTCAATGCCCTTGTTGGCTGAATAAGCAGTTTCCAAAAGGGCTTATCTTTTCCAATTTTAAATGGATTTTATTGAAATTTACTACCTGGGCAATGTTAATTTGTTACTTCATTGAGGAAGAGCTATAATTCACATTTCTACTGGTTAGTAAGTTTTCCAAAGTTGTTTAGCAAAATGAATTTGATGTTAAATCAGCACAAAGGTTAGAAAAGTCACTAAGAAACTTTGCTTATCATTTTATTTATTATTTTATTTATTCTGCCTATTCTGATATTCCAGAATTACATGAATCCCAATTTTGCTTGTTCTTAGAAGCCTGCATTTTATTTAGAAAAGGAGATCCTTCCCACTAACAATTTATTCCACTCTCAATATACACCAGTATAGAATGTGCATTTGTACTCTCTCCATCAGCAGATTCAGCAAACATCTTTGCCAAAAGAACAGCCCAGAAACAGAGATATTTGGGGCTCACTGATCTGTAAATCTGAAATTAGTGAATCATGTTCTGATACTCATTCTACTGTTTGTGTGATTTTTAGCTTGTTGTACCACATTTAAATATTTATACCTCTGTCTGTAAAATAGAAATACTACCTCCTGAATAGTTTCAAGGAATAACCAAGAAAATCCATTTTAATACTAAAATATATGTGTGTGTATTGATGTAATGAGTCACGATTGATTACAGAAAAAAAATGATCAAGTATCAAATTGTATGTGGCACATTATTAGGTAGTATAAAGAAGGTTAAAATTTCAGCCTTAGGGACTTCCCTGACGGTCCATTGGTTAAGACTGTGCTCCCACTGCAGGATGCGCGGTTTCAATCCCTGCTTGGGGAACTAAGATCCCGCATGCTATGTGGCGTGGCCAAGAAAAAAAAAAATTCAGCCTTGGAAAGAAATGTTCTCCTTTAATTTTCCCCAAAATTAGGTAAAAATCTTTCTTTATAAAATTTTAAACTATGTAGTCTGTACTATTTAATAAAATATGTTTATATCATATCAAGTAAACAATAAGAGTCTTGCTAGCCATCTTTGCTTTGATAAAAAAGGCTCTGAGAATTACTTAACCTAGTTATCCTTAATCTTTCCAAATATACACAGCTCTTGTGTTTAAGAGTGACAAGTTACCATTATGGCCTAATTACTGGTGCTTGCTCTAAACATATGCAAAATATTTACAATGGAATAAAAGAATCCACACATCCCAATTGCTTTGGTACAGATAAATTCTACAGCCCTCTCTTTTTTAATTTTAATTTTTTATTTTAGGGGAAATGCATGCTCAGCATCAAAGAAGTAAAAATTACAGTTCTCAACCCTGCTTTGTTTAAATGTGTTTGCAAATGTTCTTTCTGTGTGGATTTCTAAACATCCCCCTCACTCCACTACCTGCAACACACACATATTTGGACATATTTTGCCATTGCAAAATAAATCTACACAATTATAGTAGCATTAGATGTTTTAAAATACTTAGGGTTACTGATACAGATCATAGTTTTCCTAGAAATTGGTTTGTCCAAGTTCTTTGTACTTCACTGAGCTGTCATTTTGTGGATCTTACTAAATGAGCTAACATGTAGAATCTTCTCATAGTCATCTATTGAGGTTTCAGGACATATGTCATGGGTATTAAAGATATTGATATTTGATATCCTTCATTAAAATTGGCAGAAATGATAGGCAGCCCTGAGCAGGAGTCAGCAATTGATCAAAGAGTATAACTGAGCTAGAATTCGAATCAGTAGACTCTGATCCTAGTCTCTGACTCATTAGATTTGGCCATATATTTATCTCGCTTTTAAATTTATAACCTATAGAATAGTAAGACTAATAGTTGTTCTTCTCATATTTTGTAGGATTGCTATGATTCTCATTTTACTCTATTATTAGTTATTTTCCAAACTTTAAGTAAAGTATTTTTATATGCTCAGAACTCTAAAGCATTCACAAATCGACATACAACCTGTATATTACATTTTTTCATAACATTGAATTTACTTTAGGCAGACACCATGAGCCATTTAGATTGAAAATATTTGGGGTGATTAAAATGGTTTGGATTCACCAGTGACCATGAGTTTCAACTTAGTTTCTTACAGTTTTTAAGCATACCAACTGTGTGGGTTTTTTCTCCCTTTTTCTTCTTTAAACAGATTTTTTTCCTATACTTAGAGAAAGTATAGGTTTGGAATTAAATTGATCTGAGTTTGGCTCCTCTTTACAGAATACTTCCAATCCATTGGGTATATTGTCAGCTCTGCCTTCAGAATATGTCCAGAACCCCACTACTTCTCTTCAGCTTCACTGCTACCATACTGGTCCAGTCTTTCATCTGGGCAATTGTAATAACCTCCTAACTGGTCTACCTACATCAACCCTTGCCTCCTATAATTTATTTCCCATATCAGAGTGATCCTTCTAAAATACAAGACACATTGTATCTTTTTAATGTTCAAAATCCTACAATGACTTCCTATTTCATTCATTCCAAAGTTCATTCGCCTAAAAGCCCTTCATGAGCTGGGCTTCCTACCTTTCTGACCTCATTTCCTGTTCTCCTCTCTTACTCCACTGCAGCCCCCTTGGCCTCCCTGATATTCCTCAAACACACCAAGCTCTTTTGTACATGCTGTTTTCTTTGCCATCTGAATGCTGTTCCCCGAGATATTTTCATGGTATTCTCCTTCACTTCTTCCAGGTCTCACTCAAATGTCTAGAAAGCATTTTTTTTTTTACCATCTTCTGCAAATAACAATGTATCATCTAGGCCTTTTTTTTTTTTTTTCATCTAGGCCTTTTTTACATCTCTCTATAGCACTTATTCTCAATGAATATATTATATATTTATTTATAAGTTTATAATCTGATTTTCTCCATTAGAATGTAAGTTCCATAGGCCAAGGACCATGTGATAACTTCAGTAGATGCCGAAAAGGCATTTGACAAAATTCAATATCCACTTATAGTAAAACTCTCAACAAATAGAAAAGGAGTATCCTCAGTCTAATGAAGGGCAACTATAAAAAACCTACAGGTAACATCATACTTCATATTAAAATACTGAGTATTTCCCCACAAAGACTAGGAAAAATGCAAGGATGTCTGCTTTCACCACATATATTCAACCTTGACTAGAGGGCCTAGCCTTTGCAATAGGCAAGGAAAAGAAGTAAAAGACAAGATTGGGAAAGAAGAAGTAACGCTGTACTTACGCACAAATAACATGATTATAGAAATAGAAAAATAAAAGGAATCCACAAATAAACTACTGTGACAAGTGAATTTAGCAAAGTTATAGAATACAAGGTCAATATAAAAAAGCAATTGCATTTCTACATGCTAGTCATTATCCTCTGGAAGTGAAATTAAAGAAAAATTATATTCACAACAGCACAGAAAAACATGAAATACTTAGGGATAAAATTAACAAAATATGTGTAATACCTGTACATTAAAAATTTCAAGATACTAAAAAAAAAAAAAAAAAAAAATTTCAAGATACTAATGAAAGAAGTTTTAAAAGACTTAGATAAATAGAAAGATATACTGGATTCATAGATTAGTAGACTCAGTATTGTTAAGATGGAAATTCTCCTCAAATTAATTAATGCAATCTTAATCAATAGCTCAGCAGGCTTTTTGTAGAAATTTAAAGTCAATTTTTAAGTTTACATGAGGTTGCAAACAACCTAGAAAACACTTTTGTTAAAGAAGCATAAAATTTCAAGACTTCTATTGACTGATCTCAACATTTACTATAAAGCTAGAGTAGTTCAGGCAGTCTTTTACTGGAATCAGTATATATGATTCCATGATTCCATTCCATACACATATATTTCAATATAATCAACAGTAAATTCTAAAAAATTGGCTCAAACGATATTGTTAATTGATTTTCAACAAAGTTTATCTTTTAATCAACTACTACCTGAAATGAACCTCAACACGTACTTTATACCGTAAACAAAAATATAACTGGAGGGCTTCCCTGGTGGTGCAGTGGTTGAAGGTCCGCCTGCCGATGCGGGGGATGCGGGTTCATGCCCCGGTCCGGGAAGATCCCACATGGCGCGGAGTGGCTAGACCAGTGAGCCATGGCCGCTGGGCCTGCACGTCCGGAGCCTGTGCTCCGCAACGGGAGAGGCCACAACAGTGAGAGGCCCGCATACCAAAAAAAAAAAATATATATATATATATATATATATATAAAACTGGATATTGATCAGAGACTTAAATATAAGAGCTAAAATCATAAAACTTCTTGAGTAAAGCATAAATGTTCATGGCAAACTTAGGATAGGCAATGCTTTCTTAGGGCATAAAGCATACAAGTCATAAAAGAATGAAATTGATAAATTGGACTTTCTCAAAATTAAAAACTTTTGCTCCTTGAAAGACACCATTAAAAAAATGAAATGACAAGCCAAAAGGTAGGAAAAATATCTGTAATACATATATCTGATAAAGGACTGGTTTTCCGAATATATGAAGAACTTTCACAACTCAGTAAGAAAATAACAATCCAAAACAATATCGGCAAAAGATTTGAACAGACATTTTATTAAAGAAGCTATCCAAAGGGCCAATAAGCACATGAAAAAATTGTTTGATGTCCTTGGTCTTCAGAAAACTGCAAATTAAAATCACAATGAGACAGCTCTATAAACCCACTAGAATGGCTAAAATTTTAAAAAGTTGA